CTTGTTCAGGGAACCAGGCAGCAACGACTGCATTGGAAAAATGGTCTTATTCTTCTGTGTTTAAGGCACTGTTAATATGGACACCTCCGTTCTCAGCCTCGACATACCTTTTTATGATGCAATTTTTTAACCTTATTGGGAGACATAAATGTCAATACCTTAGTACATCAACACGTAATACATTGCTTTTGACTTGCATGAAGTCTTGTGTTGAAATACACCTGGAGAATACAAGCAACCAGAGTCTTTTGGTTTGGTCAATGTTTGCTAATACCTTTAGAATGTATCATATTTTACAGGTGATTTTACTTGAGAGCTCCTTAATAAATAACATAATGAATGTTGAGAGTTTCTCAGAGAAATAGTCCCAATTAAATATAGTTCCTAAAAGTATATTCGATGTACTGTTCGGGGTTATTTCAATTTATATGAACAATACTGCAACAGAGCAGAAGCATACTCTTATGAGAATCTGTTTGAAGTGGTTGAAATTGATACTAAAACCAAAACATTGTTGCCCTTAAAATTGTATGAATGTTTATGCTTTCTGTTTTTAACTACAGATCCCTTACCACCACCTCGTTTTGAAATTAATAAAGAAAAAACTACATTCACAAGCTTGAAGGTTCAGTGGGAACCTTCCTCAGGAAAGGTGGACTGGTATAATCTGGTATTATTTGATCATGATAATAAAAAGATACAAGAAGTCTCCATACCAGGAAGAACTTCAAAAACAGAAAATACTTTTTCCAGTCTCACCCCTGGGAATAAATACAACATTGTCCTCACTGCAGTTGCTGGAAATAAGAGTACCCCGGAACTTCACATAAGTGGATCTACAGGTAGGATTTCTTTTACTGTAGTTCATCTGAATAAAACCACTTACAGTATTTTTCAGTTCTACATTTTGAAATTAACAAATATATGTAATTATTCTTCCTGGCAAGATACATATCTTTATGTATCTATGTCAGTATCTATTGATTATAAGTAGAAATAGACAAATCTCTGGCTAACATGAAGAATTGTTTGCTAAGAATGGAGTCATGTATTTGTAATGGAGTCAAGTATTTGGGCATAAATTTGGGATTGGGTTTTCACTAACCCTAAAGAAATTCAACATATTTCTTTATATTTCTATATTTTCTTTTAGTAAATCTGTTTAAAATTGCTGAAATTGTGGACATAACCATTAGGCCTTAAGCATGTGGTTTTTTATTCCAACAGTGCCATCCCCTGTGAAAAATATTCAGGTCAGTGTCAAAACAGACACTATCCATGCTTCGTGGTCTCCTGGCTCTGGGTACGTGGATCGTTACAGGCTGCTGTTACTGGATAATCATGCCCCAGTTCATGAGGTTCACCAAGAAGATCCTCTGACCTCCTACACCTTTTCAGGACTTACAGCGGGTCACGTCTATAACCTCTCTATCATAACCCAGGCTGCAGGATTGGAGAGCAACAGTTTTCAAACAGTCAGGACAGGTATGATTTCTGAATTCATCACAACAGAACAAGAAGCTAAGACCGTAGTCTAGTAATGCCACAGGACATGTTTCAGAATAATAAGTGATTCGTGTTCCAAATGTATATTCGCAGACTTCAGTATCTGAATTACCCTTGGCAGGGGTTTCTCTCCAAAGGCTATAGAGGGAGTTAGAGAAACCCTAGGCTTATTTAGCTGCCTAAATTAGCACTGCAGCAAAGTTAGCTGCTAAATTAGCTTGTAGGGTGTCTGCAGCTAACTGCTTAACATAGGCAACTTCGTTAAACATGTAAAGTTAGGTGTTAACAGTCTGAGCCAAAGTGCACTAATATCACCTCATTTCTCTGGAAGAGGTCTATCTGACTCCTGTATGAATTTCAGTGAATTGGGGCAGTGTGTAGACTGGTTATTTCACAGTAGTGAAAACTGTTTAGCTCCATGTTTCTGACTCAGCTGAGTGGGAGATGTAAAGCTTGTGAGTTTTGTAAAAAATATTTTCTGTGACTGCTTTTCTCTGGATTTCAAAATAGCTGCATTTCTGAAAAGTAGAGTAGGTTAAGGACTTTAAAATTGAACGTTAGGTTTGATTTTTTCGGTTTTTTTTCACAGAGAAGCGTGGATTCACAGAAGCAGAGTTTTAGAAATCAAGTTTTTTTCAGGAAGGTTTTTCAAGATAGAGTTCTGTGGTCATAAAGAGAAAGATAAAATAACGCCCTACTAGAGTCCAGTGATTAAAACACTGTTGTAAGTAATAACAGGGCCATGCCTTTGCTTTCCTTAATTTCTGGTAAACGTAAGGTACAGTTTCTCCTACAGAAATCTCACCATGTAAACATAATTTAACATTAAGTGAACAATATTGTGATGTCTAGGACATACAGATGAGTGCTGTTGTCATCTATCATTGCCTATTCTGGGGATCATAATCTTGTTTCGTTGTATTTCTTCAGATTGTTTTCTTTCTTCTTCTTGTGGAGTGCAAAAACTTTAAATCTCACGGAACATAAAAGCACTCCATCTGGCTTGCAGCACAGTCCTCCATTTCAGTACGTAGTGTGCCACAAGCCTGAGTGGCATCAAAAGAGGTGTCACTTTGAGCAGTACAATGTCTGAAACAGGGCCAGGTTCAGTTTCACTGTGACCAGAATTTGCTCTTTCACTGTTCAGGCAAAATCATTCATACTCCATCTCACAGAACTATTCAAAAGCAAAACTTTACCATTGCAGTTTGAAGGCAGCAAGTCTTATATGTTCTGTGGTGGAATTATTTTATTCTCATTTTGTTTTTTTAGCCCCAGCTGAAGTCTTAGATTTGACGGTGACTAACGATGACAGCTCAGATACTTTAAAAGTTAAGTGGCGAAGACCTTCAGGAAACCTCGATTTCTATAATATCACACTGTCTCATCTTGGATCAGTTAAAGAAGTCAGAACTCTACAGCCACCAGTCACAGAGACTCACTTTGACAAGCTAACTCCAGGACGTCTTTACCAGGTTACTGCCCGCACAATCAGTGGTGAACTGTTCACTGATCGGATGGCAACTGGCAGGACATGTAAGCCTTCTGCTTCAGTAGGAACATTGTAACTGATGTTATTTTTGCCAACATTGGCCTTGTAGAAAATTATTTTAGGAGACAAAATGATTTGGATTCCAGGCAAAATAAGATAAAGAGCACAATATCGTTCCTGGAGTACCCCTTCCTGACTCTCTGGCAACAGTTAATCTGGCAGCCAAAAGCAGCTCCAGCATAGTTTGGGAGCAGGCAACAATAATGCATTTTTGACCTTATAGGTGGGTGAGTCTGTTAAAAAACTGTTCCACACTACTACACTTCTGACCAACTTTGTTATATTGAATTCAACTCAGCATAGTATATAAAATGAGTTATATTATGGGGAAGTCTGCATGTAGTCAAATTGTTAACAGATTTCTAAGTAATTTTGCAAGGTCTAATGTCCCTTGCTCCAGACATAAATCTACAAATAGGAAAAGATTAGGTCTTGGCTTTCTTCACTACCAACAGCATGTGGCAGCCTAGGTAGAGCTGGGTTATTTTGGTTTTTAATCTTTTTCAGAAGTATAATTTTCTTTGAGTTACCTCTTGTATGAGTTCTGAACCTGAAAAATCATGGCATAGTTCTTCCACAGCATTACTGACCACAAAGCCATCTTCTCCACACCAGCCTAGCCCAGGCAGAATTTAGATGGGAAAAAAAATACATGAGTGAGTGAAGAATACATACAGAAATTGCTGGTAGCCTCAGAACCAAAAAATATGTATGTATGTGTGTGTGTGAGAGAGAGAAGGAGAAGAGTATTTATTTTAGAGACTATCTATCACCTACAATGAAACGTCTCATATGAAAGACACATGCTTGACATATCTAGGTGCTACTCCATTAGCAGTGCAGGCTGGAAGAGAAGTGAAAAGCCTTTCATGTCCTTTCATAAGTTTTTTTGGTTGGGTTTTTTCTGTTTAGCTTTCCATTAAGGGCCTTTTAAGATCACCATTTGCATCTGAAGGGAGAGCTTCAGGCCCTCACTCAAACCACTGATCCCCAAATTTGTGACCTAGACCCAGTACTTTCAAAGTCAGGGATCTAAAAGTCCTTTTTCCAAGGATGGTGATCATGTGCCAATGTGACTTTTCCATTGCTACCAAGAGCTTTGAAAACAGTCAGAAGCTTTGTGGCTGAAAGATAAATTTGTAAATCTGGGCTGTCATATCTAAAGATGCTGAAGGGGTTAGACTTTTAGAGAGTCAGGTGCCCAAGAATGTAATCCACATTGCTGTGTATTGAGAGGGTGCCTACAGCAGCAAAACCTGCTGAGGATGTAAATTCAGGACCCTTGAAGTGGAGGACAGGACAAAGTGGATGTTTTAATGGACCTCAGTTTGAACCTCAGTGCCTTACAAATAGGAGGGACTAGGAAATACAAGGTCTTTGTGGGAAGAAGCCATCAGACTTAGAATTTCTCCTGCTGAGACCAGAATTTGACCCATATTGACTGAAGTTTTGTCCTTAGCTTTGAAAAATTGATTCACGGTCTGTAAATGAACTTAAGTCCCCGAAACAACAGGGAAGCTAACTGGAAACTGCAGATGTATGCTAGTAGTGCAGGGGAAGATTTTGCCACCCTGATAAGAAGAGTTCCCAATTTCTAATGTCAGAAACCAACAGTGAAAAAGTGAGTGGTTTGTGCGAGAAAGAGTAAAAATTAGCTTCAAAATGAATGCCAGCCTTCATAACAAGATACCTCACATTGCTCTAACAGATCCAAGTACTTCTGCAATAGCTGTGCTGCAAGACAGGTTTTGCCAGTGCGCAGTTACCCCACTTCAGACTTCCTCTCTCAATGCCTGTATTTCAGTTCCCCAGAAGGTTTCTGAGCTGGAAGCCGGTGGTGGTGGTTGGCTGAGGTCTCTGCGAGTGAACTGGCTGCCCCCTGCGGGAGACTGGGAGAGGTACCACCTCCTCCTGTGGAACCGCTCGGCCCTGGTGCTTAACGCCACCCTCCAGAAGGACACCAGCGAGTACCTCATCCACGACGTGGGCCTCATCCCCGGGAGACAGTACAGCGTGGACCTGTTTGTGGAGAGTGGTGATTTGCAGAGCAAAACTAGCTGCACAGGGAGAACAGGTCAGCGTGCTTGCCTGGGAAATGTGAGAGTACAAAATGTTCAGCTGGGGTTTGTGGGCAAGGAGAAAGGAGAAGTACCTGGGAATCCATAGGTGTATTTCACTATTAATACAGGAAAAAGGAGCTCCCTTGTAAACAACAGAAATAATGCTTTTTAGCAGTTCTGTGAAAACTTTCAGGGTTATTTTGGTGGCAAATACTTTGTTAGTGAAAGCTTTGGGAATTATATTCTATATATGATACAGAATATTATATATACTGTCATGACTGAAGCATTACACTACATGTACAACATTTCACTGTATATTTTATAGCTGATAGAACAAGGCGCATTCTCATCTTGCCTACCTTGATGTACATTACAAATAATTTAAGTTTATGGTGTTACTTTTGACACAGCTAAGTGATTAGAACATGGTCCAATAAATAATATCCAGCACTAGGTGTATCATAACTGTGCTTGTGAGTTGTATTTCAATGTCACAGGGACAAAATCAACAGATGCCCTCTGTATGTGTGCACACATACAGAAATTTACTGATCAAATTGTTTCTTTTATGCCACTGTAAGTTTGGAGTGTCTGCCAAGTTGACTGAGATACAAACCAGAGCAAAATCAGCGTCACTCTGGTCGTATAATTTACATCCTTGTTTGTTACAGCTAAATTGGTGTAGGTCTGTTTTCTGGTACAAATGTTTTATATTGCTGTCTAGCACCCACACTTCAAGAGAAAGCCCACTGACTTCACTGCATTTCCATTCATACTAAAATATATATCCTGATATAAGCTTAAACCTAAGCATTACAGCCATAATGCTGAAGGCTGCTGCTACAGCCCTTTACTGGAAGAGTAGCATAAATACTAGATTTGTAACACTGGTTTCCTAGAGAAAGGTAAATAATCTTCCACTGATTACAAGTACTCTGGTGCTGTCACAGTTGTGTCTTACAGAACAGATCTCTTACAGCATGTTGAGCTACAGCATGTGTGTTCGCTACAAAATCCTGTTCTCATTGTGGTGTCTGTGTACTTTTACAGCTCCAGAACCTGTTCTCCAGCTCCGTGTGAAGCATGCAAATGAATCTTCACTTAGTGTCATGTGGATGACCCCTGTTGCGGAATGGGACAGCTATGTGGTTTCACTAGGAGACAGGGATCTTACTGTCATCAAAAAAGGGCTTGCAAAAGAAGCTAAGGAATTCACGTTCACTGACTTGGTACCTGGAAGAAAATACACAGCTACCATCACTACCATTAGTGGGAGTTTAAGCAACTGGACTTCAGTGGAAGGAAGAACAGGTACCATCCTGTCAAACTATTTTAATCTTTGCTTCTGTTGAGCATTAATAACTTACTTTGTTTTGCAGTGAACTAAATGAACTATGTGTAAATTTCAGAAGTCTTGAATTTATGTTCGTTTCTTCAGTAGAAAAGTCACATTTCTGAGCCTCTCATTTCTGACTGTCAGCTATCTTGCAGTATTTATTTAAGGTTTTGGGGAAATGGATATGTAATTCCTGGCAAAACAGGTTTCTGAAATACTATGTCACGTCTGATCAATCTACATTACCACAAGATTCCATATAAGAAGAAAAATTTTCACTGGGTATCTCCAGGAAGGTCACCTCCTTGATTCAAAGCATTCATCATCTGAAAAAAAAACAAACACCACCACACAGGAAAATATTGCTTTAGGGGGAACATTCCAAGGTTGACAGACACAAAACATATGTGACCTTGAAAATGTATTTTGAATCTATCTGCTGTTATGATTCCAGAATCTGTGTCTCTTACTTAGGATGCTGACTGTGACACAAGGAAGGTCCCATTCCCACCTCCTGCAGGGTACTAATTTTGTGCACATGTGCAAGTTATAAACCATATGTGTTGCTTTACTCTGTTTGACTTTTGCATTCTCCAGTGCAAGCAAAGTCTTAAAATGTAGCTCTGGTCTTGCACAGCACAAGGAAAAACAAGCTGCTGGTGTGTGAATCTAATCATGCCTATGGCTTGATAGTGGTCCTTACTTGAAAGTTGTAAGTTCTTCCAAGGCCCTAAAAGTTTGACTTATACTTTCATTTCTTTGCTGTGTGATTAGATAGCTGGGATTTCTCTTCCTTCTGCCTTACGCCCCTTTACAAGGCCTATTTAGGCATAAAGGTTACAGTGTCTCACTTCACTAGTATGAATCAGGCAGGGATATCATTACATTCAAAGTGATAAAGAATGAACACTGACAAGTTTGAACATAGATCTTAATAAGCATTCCAAACCTCTCGATCTTCGTAACAGTAGATCGGCTTGCTAGGCTGGCAAAATTTTGCAGTAATTATGACAGAAAGAGGTCTTACATGCATCCTAGATTGGTCAGCTTCTGGTGAAGCCAGAAGCCAGAGGTATCACTAAAAGTGCCTTTAGCACAGGAAGGTGGCACTTAAGTGTCTTGGAGCTTACTATGTTGTGACAGCATTATGAAACAGGTGGGATTTTTGATTCACTTTTTAGTGTACGTTTCTTTCAGCTATGTGCCTAATTTTCTAGCTTTTGTTAATGATTGCTAATCTAATACTGTGTGTGCAAAAAGGCTGATACAAAACAAGAGGTAAAGCTTGCAGTCACATTCTATAAAATAGGAGTGTTCTTTATTTCAGTTGTGCTTGGTCATGTAAGCAGAAATACTTAGAAAGAAGTAACTATATTTCCTTGCTTTGACCAAATACTGTCAAATAAAAAAAAATATTTGGGGTAAAATTTGTACAAGAAAACTACATTCCTGTTGTTATTTCTTTTTCCTTTTTGGCCTGGCTAAGTTTACCAGCTTATATTTAGTAAATGTTATGTTTGTTTAACAATTAATTCATCTTTTGATGCTAAAAAAGTTAGTATCCTGCAGATACTGTGATGTAAAAAGTAAAACTCAAACCATCTAGTTACCATCTCAGTTACCATTTCAGTTACCTCCGAAAGTAAAGGGTCTGACACTTCTCTGAGGTATACGTGGCTGTGCCTGAGGTATTCAGGAAACTAGTTTGCCATTTAATAGGAATGAGAGATGTGGTGTAGGAGAGGAAATGGAATCTAATAGGAGTGAGAGACAGAGAATAGGAGAGGAAATAGGAGAATGGAAGACACAGTATTTTAAAGTCATCAAAACCCCAAGTGACTTCCTAAATTGTTGGCTTTTGTTTAATGGTATTTATAAAATTCCGTCTCTTCCAGTTCCCTGATCTTGAATCATTGTGGTCTGACTGGGAAAAGCTGTGCTAATGCCTGAAAGACCTTTCTGTGCCTTAGATAGTTTCCCATAGACCGCATCCCATCAGACAGGAAGCAGTCCACAGTTAGATTATTTTTAGTCCTGTTGAGTCTGGCTGCAAATTGGAATGTTCTTTTCATGCACTTCCTCTGTGTGACTAAACTTGGGTTATTTGGGGGTTTTGTTTTGTTTTATTTTGTTTCTCCTCAGTAACATTATGACAATTCTCTTTGCAGTGCCAGCCCAAGTGACTGGTCTGACCGTGGCAAGTCAGGGATCAACCAACAGCTTGTTCACCAACTGGACAGGAGCACTGGGAGATGTAGACTCATACCAAGTGCTACTGATTCACGAGAATGTTGTCATTAAGAATGAGACTGTTCCCAGTGAAACCAACAGATACCACTTCTATCCCCTGAAACCTGGAGGACTCTATTCAGTTGTTGTCACCACTGTCAGTGGGGGAATATCTTCAAGGCAAACAGTCGCAGAGGGGAGGACAGGTAAAAGAGAAAATACTCCAGCATGTCTTTTTTCAGTTCCTAAAAGATGAGTTTATTAAACAAAACAGTCATGTGATTAAGCCATTGCACTGAACATTCAGAAATACGGGAGTTTCAGCCATATAATTCCTGTATGTGACCTCAGGCATACTGTGGGTCCAGATTCACATTAACATAGCTCCCTAAGGAGCTAGCTGCTCTGCCTACACTAGGAACTCAGGACAGCAGGATCACTTTGTGGGGAAGACAAAATCAGGCCCTGAGAGTGATGTACAGCTGTGGTGGGTGAATCACCCCTAGGAAGGGACTTTCTTGTTCCATTGACTAGATAGGGTGATTGCTCCTTAGGTGTGCAAATTAGCTGCCTAAAGGTGGTGGGATAAGTTTGTGTCTCAGCCTCTCATGACCCACTCTTTTCCTCCAATCCAACATTAAAGAATGTCCACCAGGGTTAATGACTCATTATGGAGCGCTTCTATACTGCATAGGACTGGCTTTACTTTTGCATTAAATACTGTAAGTTTAATGACTCTTGAAATGTAATGCCAGTCCGTTGGATGTTTAAATAGAGGGAAATATTGACAACACAGTGCAATTTCACGCTTTATGCGAATTTAGCACAGGCTGGATATTCTGCAGTCTGGTCCAGTGTTCTTACTGAACTATTTTCAGGTAAAAAAACCCAACCAACCAAACAAACAGAAAAAAACCCCAACCCCACAACTGCAGAAGAATGACACTAAGAGACTTAAAGTACATAAACATATTTTGTAAAATCTAATATTTTTTACTCTGACAGCTGATGGCTGGTGGTCCTTACCCTCTAACTGAGGTAAGTCAGTTCAGTCCATCAGAGTTCAGTGAAAATGTGACAGTTCATTGTGATTAAGGTCTGCTCCTGTAATAATTCTGGTAGTTTTGTACCTAAGTGATGGTATTTCTGGCAGTGTGGAGTCTTTGATCCCACCTTGCTGTTTTGAGAAACAAGTTTCTTTCATGTTTTGGCCACTAGGCGTCAGAGAACTCATTGCAAATGACACACGTTCTGCTGTGGGCCTCAACTTCATAGAAGCCTCAACAGTAATTGCTACTACTGATGAATGGCAATTTGAGAGGATAACTCATCTCCTGGGATTTTAGAAGTGCTGAGATTGTGCCACCAAAGGCAATTTCCTTCACTGTATTCAAAAAAGCAGACAAGTGTTGCTGAGTGGGAGTCAGTGCAGAGTTTCTCAGGAGTCCCAGACTGCTTATTTGGCAGGGCGACATTCCAGGCATTCTCACAACAAATGGAATTGAGTAGTTAAAGCTCTTTTGGTTTTTCCTCTTTGTTGCACAGTTCCTTCCAGCGTGACTGGAGTAACAGTAAATAACTCAGGTCGCAGCGACTACCTCAGTGTTTCTTGGCTGCCAGCTTCTGGAGATGTAGACAGTTATTTGGTAACACTCTCTCATGATGACCAGATTGTTCAGACTCTCACCGTTTCCAAATCCTTCAGTGAATGCTCCTTCAGCAGCCTTACTCCTGGGACGCTTTACAATGTGATGATAACCACAAAGAGTGGGAAGTATGAAAATTATTCCTTCAGCCAGGAACGAACAGGTAAAGAGAGCCTTGCAGCAAAATCCAGTCACCATAATCACTTTGTATAGCCATTATCAATGATCTATCAGTATCTGACCAAACTGGGATGGGTGAGTAGGGATTGGAGGGTCAAACTATAAAATAAAAGCTTTACAGACTTAGTTTTATTCTTATGCCCCTACTGCTGTTTTATGTCATTTAAAATTACTTTAGCATGAATATGTCACGTGTCAGTCCTTGTGAGTAAATCATGTATCAGTTTTAGCTCAAATCATTTTCCTGCTCTTAACGCCTCTACTTGGCTCTTTAAGTATATCCTGTAGAGCATCCCCCCCACGTCTGCCAAGTTACTCAAGTACTGAAAGAATGGGATAGGATAGGCTAACTACTAAAATATTTGTGTGTCACATAAATGAGTAACACTCATGTCTATGGTTTTGGTCATGCAGTGTTCAAGCAGATTATAGCAGGAATAAGGAAAATTTCAGAAAAGGGTGGCAATACTGATGGAAAACTTTTTAAAACTTCCTCAAAGGTTGAAAATACTGAGACTTTACACTTGATAAGCCAGTAAAATGGAAAAAGATGGTAAGGGGTGTTAAAATGACAAAGACTGTCAAGTTAGCGCAATTTTAGTCTTCTAATAGTGTAAGTGAAAATCCAAGACACAGGCATTTAAATTAGGAGAAGCAAATTCAGGATTAGTGTGAACCTGTGGCACTCACTGCTATAAGCCAAACTGACCAAGTTCCAAAAGACCAAAAACTGGAAAGGCAAACCATTGTTACATGACATAAAGCAACATGGAAACTGCAGTTACTATTTTAGAAGCTAGGGTATTGCTTAAATCCACATTGTGGTCTTTTGGCAGCTTCCTCAGAAAAGTCTGATTTGTGGTAATTACCACAAATATAGTCTACTACAGCAGCTCCTGTTACTTCAGGAAGTTATTGCTTTCTGAATCTTTACTTGTGTTTTTCTTTCAGTCCCTTCAAGTGTTCAGGGACTTACTGTCAGCAATTCAGCCAGAAGTGACTACTTGAAGGTGTCCTGGTTACATGCCTCTGGATATTTTGATAATTATGAAGTGATCATCAAGAACAACAATGATTTCATCCAAACAAAAAGTGTCCCAAAGGATGAAAATGAATGTGTGTTCACTAATCTGGTCCCAGGGAGGCAGTACAGTGTCACGGTCAGCACAAGGAGTGGGAAATATGAAACTAGTGAAAGAGTCTATGGCAGAACAAGTAAGTAAACATCCTGAAAGCATCTTGAGACACTCCAAGATTTTTTCTGTTTACCATAGCTGGCCTAGAAATCTCATATGGTTTTAACACAGAATGTTGAGTGTGACTCTGCATGTGTGTCATTCCAAATACTTATTTAGTTTATGACCAGTGTTTAAGTTAGAGACATACAGAACATGAAAGAACAGATCTGTGTTGTGAACTTGGAAAGTAAATCTTGAAATATGGAAAACTGAAATAGAGTTACACAGGTTTTCACATGAACTTAGTATTTGTGCTTAAACTATGCCGAAATGTACATGCCAGGTTGTTTTCTGGTCATGGAAATGTATAAGGAAAAAGATAGTCTAGACCTCATACTCGTCAAATTACCCCAAGAATTGGAGTTGGAGAGCATGGGGCAGGAGTAGTAAAGTGACTAGCTGTGAGCCAGGAAGGACCTGAATGCAATTTGCCTGTCTTCACTTAGCACTTTGTGTAAGCTAATGAGCCATGCTAAGAAACTGAGTTTATTAACACAGATGTAGCACTGGGCAAAAATGACTGACCTGCATCTGGCAGGAGTTTGGAACTGTGCAGGGTGGTGCTGCAGCACATGGATGGATTGCCTTGGGTCTCTGCTAGCTCAGGCCTCTTTGTATAACATTTGTTGTACATGCAGATCCTACTCAACTTTTGTTGGCTACGCAGATTCTCTGCAGACTCCATTATTACCCATTTTTATTTTTATGCTGATAGTTCGTGGACTCAGTGTTCTGAAATGGGACCTTCTGGGGTTAGATACAGTGCAAACCACAGACAGCAAACATTGTAAATAAGTGCAGTCTGCTGCTTTTCCTAGGGAACTGAATGAAAAGTTTTGGTGCAGGAGCATGGTGTCAGAGCTTGTATCTTTTTGCTGTGAGCTGTTAATAAGTACTGAGAAGTTTTCTTTCTTCTCACCTCTTTAGTGCCAGAGTCAGTGAAGGAACTGACTCTTAGTAACAGGAGCACAGAAGATCTGCAGGTAACTTGGTCAAAGGCTGAGGGGGATGTTGATAAATATGAGATTCAGCTGCTCTTCAATGATATGAAGATCTTCCCACCCATTTTCCTTGGGAACACCGTTGAGGAGTATCGGTTCACAGCTTTGACTCCAGGACGTCTATACAAAATTCTTGTCTTGACCATCAGTGGAGATGCACAACGTGCTACTTTCATAGAAGGCCTGACAAGTAAGAAATAATACAGTATTTAGAGGAAAGAATGAGGCGGAGAAAATTAAGGGTGAACCATGATCTTATCTGAGCTCCTGTGATACTGGCACAATGACAGCATATCTCATTGAAAATCACACTAGTACTTCAGCCAAGTTGATCTGTGCTTAATAAACAAATGTCACAGTTACTGATAGTTGGTATGTGGCAGTTAATCTGATTTGTTGCATAGGAGTAGTATTGAGATGTCGATGTTGGGTTTCTGTTATTCCCATGGATGCCAGTTGTTTGCTTAGTATCTCTAGCTAGATATCTTAAGTTATTTTACACCTCTTATTTACCCACCTGAAGTGAATGGGTGTGATTATAACTGCAAAATGGCTAACTAACTAAGTGTACATAAAGAGCTCTGGTTTTCTGAGGGGTATCTGAAGCAGCATTTGGAAAACAGGGAGGTTACCCAGCTAAAAGAACATAGAAGCTTCTTTCTGTTTAACTTACATTTTATTTACATTTGATCCTGTAAACACATAATTGCTTTTCTAAAATGGCACAATCCTACACAAATGTCTTCAACTTTACTTGCGTTTACCCATGAGTGAAATTACTTGTACATGAAAATGCTTTTTGTCCTTTGAATCATCTGCTGTGGCCATAAAAAAAGTAGGAATTTAAAAGTCTGAATCAAACAGGAAATTTGTGAGCAGGTGCCTTTGTGTCCCTTTTTTTTTTTCCAGTTCCAAGCATGGTCAGAAACATTCATGTGTCCCCTAATGGCATGACAAACAGCCTGAAAGTGAGCTGGACTCCTGGAAGTGGAGATGTTGATTCCTACACAGTGACTATATTTCAGCAAAACCATCAGCTTGACTCCCAGAGTGTCTCCAAACATATCTCTGAGCACATGTTTCACAAGTTGGAAGCTGGGGAGCAGTACCGGGTTGTCGTGCAATCTAACAGTGGCACCTTGCACAACAGCTTAGCAGCTTTTGGGAGAACAAGTACGTTTTGTTTGAGACAAGGAGCAAGTTGCATTAAATCTTCCCAGAAGCTTATTAATAACATTTATGAACATATTACTGGGTGTGGGGATTCTAAGACTCATGACAAGTTTTTTTCTGAAGGAATGCGAGTCCTCTCTCTTGCAAACACCTAGGGTCTGTTAGTAACAGATCTGTCATGTGAGTAGCTTTACCTGGGTGAATGCATGTGGAATTCAAGTCCCCAGCCCAAAGCGCCTTCATAAGATGAATGCAGTTCCATCACCCCTCAGTCCTGTGTCTGTACCCATCCAGCACATATATCTTCAGGGCTCCATTTAGTCAAATACTGTGTTGTAGCAGAGCCCATTGTATGATCGAGGTTTGTTGTACAATGTTCCACTGCATGTTGGAACGCAGAAAACAGTGGAACACCCTGGTTTCAGTCCATCCTGTCTCCAGCACCTGCATGTGTTTGCTGTGGCCTTGACTTTTGTGCAACAGCTGCTAGCTAACATTTTATATTCTGTGACACTGTTTTGCACCACTTCTTTATTTTGCAGTTCTTTTTCACATGCCTTTATTAACTGTTTTCATCAGTTTGTCTCACTCTCCTCGATCTTTTCATGATAACTTATATGTATCTATTGCACTTCAGATGTTCATGATGCTCTCTAACTTCATCTGATTGTATTTATGTCTAGGAATTATTTACATGCACAGACATTCCTTTCCCACAAGTGAACATGCAAATGAATAAAGATATATTCTATTAATTAGTTTATTCATAGTTGTGTATTGAATGTGTATTGAATGATCTGTATTTCACCTGGTAATGTCCTGCCTTTAATTGTTGCTTCCAGTTCCAGCCTCTGTCCAGGACTTACTAGCCCATCATGCTTACAGCAGTCATTCCTTGTTAGTAACCTGGCAGAAAGCTCCTGGTGTCGCTGAAAGATATGACATTCTGCTCTTGAACGAGCAAGGAATCCTCCTGAGCAACAAATCAGAGCCAGCTACTGCCAAACAGCACAAATTTGAAGATTTATTAGCTGGCAAGAAGTATAAAATACAAGTTTTGACAGTTAGTGGTGGCCTCTTCAGTAAACGAGCAGAAACTGTTGGGCGAACAGGTAATTAGAACATTTTTGTGTATTTATAGTTCCTTCAGTCAGATATCATTAAATACATGAATCATCTTTATATCTTGATTCTGGGAAGATTCTAGTAAGAACAGACTTCAGATTTTATACATCATTTTTCCTGATGTGTGCTTGGTATGTGAATCTGAAATTGTTAACATAATAATGTGGCCGTGGTTCATAACAAGGATATTAAACCAAAGTGCTGAATGCTGCCTTCAGTCCATCTGTTATGGAACTATCTATCTGAATGCTTTATTGTCATCAAGTTTTTAATTCACAATCTCAAGGCTTTTAGCACAGTCTTTACTCAGTGAAAACTTCTTGTAGAAACTAATGGACAGTTCTGTGTGAGCACAGGCTGTAGAACCAGGCCTGCTGGGAAATACAAACACTGTGTTGGAGAGACTCAGTGGCACCTCGTAAATGCTTTCCCCTGGCTTCTGAAAGTTGCTGTTGACATTACTTAGCTACTTGTGGCTTAATTGAAATGTATTCCAACCATGACTTGTTACTTTATTAAAGGTTCAGCTTAGTGGCCAGACATTTTGGTATTTACCCTTGCATTTATTCTTTTCAGTTCCAGCAGCAGTTACAGATCTGAAGGTCACAGAGAACACCACTGACCGACTGTCCTTCAGCTGGACTACCTCACAAGGAGAGCTTGATTCATATGACATCTTCCTGTACAACCCAGACAAGTCCCTTCATGACAGGATTTCAGGAGAGCAGCACCTCCAGCAGTGTTCATTCCAGAACCTGCAGCAAGGCAGGATGTATCGAATGGTGATCGTTACCCATAGTGGGGACCTCACTAACGAGTCATCTGTCTATGGAAGAACAGGCAAGAACATCTAAGAAAACCTTCTGCCTCCAGTGTGGTGCTCATGGGGGACACCAGTGAGCTGGTCTGAGTCTGCTGTTCACTTTAGATTAGAGCAACTATTAGAAATATCAAAGTGGGCTCTCATACATGAAAAGCATTAGACAAGTAAGAAGGTAATTTTTGAATGATGTGGTTGCAAGAGGAAACTGGAGCAAAGAACTTTACAATAGTTCCCAGCTACTCAGGTCAGGAGAAGAACATCCCAATGTATGCTGCTTAAGCCTTAAAGGAAGACAGCTGTATCCCATCCTAAAAGTGTGGTCTATGAGTGGAAAAGACCAAAAGGCAAAGCAAGTAGGGTTAATGGGGTAGACAATCTACCAGTAAATAAAAGTTGTTTTCCCTGGGGAGCTCTTGCTGCAGATGTGTTTGTTCAGCCACACATGGGAAGCAGAGATTCGTAAGCAGCTTTAGCAACCCTGATGCTCTGTGAAACCTTTCTTTATCCTCTGAGGCACTGTATAGTAACCCTTCTGTAAGACTGCCTCTAGACAGTGGTATGTTTTCTTCAGCTACCTCAGAACTGGATGTTTCCAGACACTGATTGGGAAAAAGCTGCTTAACATTTGCAAAAGTATCTATTACAAATATTTCAGCCTCTTTGGAGACAGTGGCAGTTCAAAATAAGACAGGAAACTATTGAGATACACTTCCTGATGCTTCCTGGCTTTTTGGCCATCTGTGGTGCCCGTCTGGTTTATTACATGGCTGTCATTACAGGATAAGTGTAAGGTCTGCTGGATTTTGTTACTTCTCCTCACCCTAAGGATGTTCTACATACAGTAATATTCAACCCCTTTTTTTTCAGTACCAGCCCCGGTTGTTGGTCTAAAGGCATCCAACCGAAACATGACAGACAGTCTGTGGTTCACCTGGGGTCCAGCAGCAGGAGATGTTGACTTCTATGAGCTGAATCTTTACAACCCAAATGGGACACAGAAAGAGACATGGCAGAGGAAAGACCTGAAAGAGTGGCATTTCCAGGGGCTCATTCCTGGCAGAAAGTATACTCTAGTTGTGGTGACTCACAGTGGTGACCTGACCAACACAGCAAATGCTGAAGGGAGAACAGGTAAAAAACACAAAAGCTTTGGGATTTTTGTTTAGTTCCATCTGTCAGCATTCATATTAGTTCACAGCTATGCAACGGACTTGTTCTGAGGGAGGATTTATTTTAACAGTCACCAAAGGTGTAAAGATAAAGAATATCCTTAAGGGTACTAAACCAATGGAGAGTGATTTTATTCAGTGCTGGCTTTCTTTCAAAGGCTCAGGGATATGTAATATCTGTGAAAGTCACCACCATCAGCACAGGTGCACTAATAAGCTGTGTGCACAGGATAATATAAACAACTTTATGATGCATGAAGAAAACAATGTATGTTTCATTTATGTCATATGTAAAAACTTGTTAAGAATCTCTTTATCCCTTCCCCTTCTCTTCCCCCGTTTCTGTGTAGCACCCAGCCCTCCTAACGCTGTGTCGTTCACTGATGTTGCAAACACTTCTTTATCAGTTACTTGGTTGGGTCCTCCAGACTGGACAGACTACGATGATTTTGAGTTGCAGTGGCTTCCAAAGGATCCCCTCATAGTATTCAATCCCTACAGCAGCAGCAAATCAAAAGTACGCATCATCTATGGCCTGCGACCAGGCAGACTTTATGACTTCAGTGTCAGAACTGTCAGTGGTGACAGCTGGAAGACATACAGTCAATCACAGTCTGCAAGTGTGAGGACAAGTAAGTGAGAGTTTCCATTGCACCCTAACAGTCAGCTGGAGAAGATGCAAGCCTTAAATCTTAGCAATTCCCTTGCCAGTCAGTAATTTCCATTAGTGAATTTATGAATGATGGTGATGAATTTGTCTAGATTCTAAGCCCTTGCTGTGTGCAAGGTTAACCATTTGGAAATGGACATATATTTACAATCTTCACATCCAGAGTGGGGCTGTTTGGTTGAGGAGCCTGAATCAGTCAGTTTCAGGGTAAAATAAGGCTGAATATCCAAACTTCTCTGACAGTAGGATATTGAAATAAGCAAAATGTTTCTGAACTATCAGACAGGAAGGATGAATGAAACCCTGCTGTACTAGATTCGAAACTGAAATTAGTGTTTCACTGGTCTGCATTTCTGCCCATGTTTGTGGATCTGCATAATCTAGCCATCTCTATCAACCTCAGTAGCAGGCTGATTTGAAAAAGTGACCTGGAATTGTAAAAATAACAGCATTGTCAAACCCTCATGTCACCTGGGGTGGGATCAGCTCTAAATGGACATCTATGTTTAGTAAGCTGAATAGCTCTTTAGATTCCATTCAGCGTATTTATTAAAATGAGAGACCTCTTTCACCTGTATTTAATCACTTAAAGGTAGACATCTGTCACCTTCATTACGTGACGGTACATATGGTGCTCTGATATTACATGGATAAAGCATACTTCTGTGGAATGTTTTAATAATACGGGAGTACCACATGCTACCCAGGAAAACAGATCAGTCATGAGATGACTGATGTCATTAAGCACATGTAACTTCCAAATAAGTTGTATCAGAGTTCTAGAAATCCATTGCTTTGCACTGTTGCTGTTCATGTTAAGACTTCAGCAAGTAGTTCTGTTTGCTTGTTTTCATAATTAATGACTGAAGCTTCACAAACCCAGTGAGGCTGATGTCACTAGATCTGATTTCAGATGGCTAAAATGAGTTAGACTTGCCTAATAATCATGCAGCACATTATTTGCAGGAGAGGTAGGAATTCTGGGTACTAGCCTCCCACTCTGATCAAACAGCTGTGTGGAATCTAGGGGCTGTAGGGTGAGCAGAGCAGATGTTCATAGCAGGGTGATGCCTGTACCTTTCCCACTAAGCTTCAATTTCTTAACATTCTTCTAGAACCAGACAAGATACAAAGTCTTCATTGCCGGCCCCAGACCTCTACTGCCATTGCATGTTCCTGGACTCCTCCTGATTCTGACTTCGATGGGTACAGTGTCGAATGCAAGAAGATGGATACTCATGAAGTGGAATTTTCTAGAAGGATAGACAAAGACAAATCTCTGCTTAGTATCATGACCCTCGTTCCCCACAAGCAATACCTGGTGTCCATCAAGGTGCATTCTGCAGATATGACAAGTGAAGTCGTTGAGGACAGCACCATCACAATGATCGACCGTAAGTGTAATTCAGAGTTGCTGTGAAGGGAGGCAGTGAGCAGCAGTAAGCAACTGCCTGTGTTGGTTAGACAGCAAAAGGAGTTCTGAACTCCATAATTGCCAGGGTGTAGTAGTCATCATGTGGTGGCCAAAATAATGAACCTGTCCATCGGTTCCTTGTTGAGACAGACAATGCAGGATTTTAACTATATTGTCTCTCATTACATTGCCAGACCTGCTTATTTGGAGCAACTTTAAAAATTATCCTGTCACTCTGATGTTCAACACCACAGATGCCATCATCATCACACAACTTTAGTTGTCTTCATGGTTGCTGCTTGGTTTCCTGTGCCTGGATGTTTCTCCTAATGGATGGTAGCCATCCTAAGCACAAATACCCTTCAGTGAGGACATTGGATTGTGGCACTGGGTCATTTTTGGGCTCTGTGCATTCTTTTGAGGTGCTACCTGACTAAATCACCTGTAGGAGGGAGGATCACAGATTTCCATAGCATGTGCTTTGAAACAGCTTCTTCAATTTCTCCACCTGTAGGCTGCTGAGTAGAGCGTATCGGTAGAATCTGCTGATGCCTCTGCACTGCCAGACCACTGCAGTGAACAGCCCGCCATTGCTGGCCCTAAAGGTGCTCCAATTTTTGCAGTCCCTTGGGATTCAGTGGCACAGCAAAACACAGGGGCCTGAACCTCTCTAGGGCTAAACTTCTCAGAAACACAGGGTGGCCAGGAGACCTATATTCAGAAGCACTTCTATAGGTGCTTATTAAAAGCCAAATCGGTGTGAAATGCTAGATCATAAAAATTATGTTTGGCTTGGAAGCTATTGAGCTAAGCTACAGAGTTCAGTCACCATCCCACCTTCTGCCTTCCCCCATCGATAGCCTTTTAATTGCAACCATGTCATCTCCTTCCTCTACCACAAAGGATGCTACAAATTCAGATGTAGTAAGAACTAGCTATTCATGTAACAAGAAGTGATGCTGAGTCCTATTTGAAGGTTAGCTGTTTCACATTCTTACTTGTTTTAAATACTGCTGTTCTCTCAGATTCTCATTAACACTGGAGGCCCTACCTCCAGGGAACACAAAAAATTGCAGCTAGACTTTGTGCATATAAGACGTTTAACTAAACAACATAGAAAGGCGTGAATTATTGGCTCTTTTTGCAATCTAAAACCTTTTGAAGTTTAGCCATCTGCTTACATATTTGATACGTTTCCCATACTTGCAATATAGTTTCAGTAATACAGGTTTTTAAGATTCAGCAGTGTAGGTCCTTAAAATCCCTACTTTCATTCCACTGGTCCTCTGAAGGATTTTACACTTTCCAGTTTTCTTCTTCTGTGTGAGTTTGAGGTAATAGCTTTCTAGCATATGAAGGACATTTCCTATGGAAATCCGGCAGTCAGTCTGGAAAATGGTACTCTCTAGTTGAAGGCTGACTTGGGGCTGATCATCTGGAAAAGGAAACAGAAATTTAGATGCTTAAAATAGGTAACTTCCTGTAGTGAGTTTGCTAAGTGGCCTCCAAATACCTGACTTAAGCCTGTGTCATTTTTAGCAACTACAGTTTCTGATTTCAGAGATTTAGCAAGACTGTAATGCATTTCCATATGGACTTCTACAGGAATTACTGCTGAGGAACTGCCACTGTTACTATGGTTAACTCACTGCTGGCTTGTTTCATCCTTTGACAGACTCCCTGTGGGAGGGGAAGACATGTCCTTGATTGAAAAAGAACAGAATCAGAGTCTTGGGTCAAGTCAGCTGAGCTTTACTACGAATTACATTTCCTTTATTAGTCTAGCTCACAGTAAATACATAGATAATGCTTTCTCTCCTTTTTTGTTTTGTTTTGGTTTTAATTACTCAGGTCCCCCTCAGCCACCTCCAGACATACGAGTGAATAAAAAAGAGGTGCTGATTACCAAATCCTCCATCAACTTCACTTTTAACTGCAGCTGGTTTAGTGATACTAATGGAGCTGTGAAGTACTTTACTGTGGTTGTGAGAGAGGCTGATGGTAAGTGATGTGATATAATACCATTCTGTCTGTCACCTAATGTAGTTACATGGGGAGGTACACCCCTATCACCATGCAGCAGAGGAGCTTCTTGTCATTTAGTGGCTGAGTTGCTTAGAGGGTTTGGATCTATACCTGCTCCCTAACCCTGGGTACTTAGGAACTCAGTAGCAACAGCAAAGCTCAGACAGAAGCAGTAATTAGCTTCTGTACTCTAGGTCACATGCTCATGTTTGTTCAAGAAATTTCCACAGTAGGAGACTTACGTTGGATGCCCTTGGCAGTGAACATAGAAGAAGCTGCCTTGCAATGCACAGATCCCAAAAGGTAGTTTAAATGTTAGGTGTGAACACTAAGGCAACTCTTTCAGAGAACCTCAGTAAGCCATGCTGAGAAGGCAAAGGTAGCATCTCCCAGGTGGTGTTTGATAATTGAAGGAAATGGCTTTTCGTGTAGAACAGAACAGAAGTTGCCCATGTAAACCTCCCTTTCTGCAGTTTACCTATGTGTGACAAAACAGATGGATGTCTCAACAATTAATGTCTTGGTTTTAGAAGTGGCTTCATTTACTGGCATGCCAGGACGTATTTTGTGACCCTTGAGAAAGTTCCTTAACCCCTCTGTCCATCAGCCCTTAGGAAAAAAAGCAGAGATAGTATTTCCACCATCTGCTCTGTCATGTTTGTGCAGACCATGAATCTCTTTGAGAAAGGGTCTATTCGTTGCCGTGGTTTTGCCTACCTGAGTCTTCTACACATTATTGTGAGTTTCCATTCAGGGGACTCCTGTCATTTAATTTACGGCTGTTCTCTCTATACAGTAGATTTGTCAGTGTCTGGATTTTTTTACTTGCTTTTTGAAATAGCTGGTGGTGTCTGAAGTTCCTCAGAAAAATAATATCAAGGTTGGTACTAGAAACCACTGTAGCTTTATATTCACAAAGTAGCCTGTGCAGCCTCCAAGAAATGTTAGGAAGTTGGATAAGATACGTCTGTCAACAGCTTGAGCATTAATGGCCGTGGTAGGTAAATCTTCTTTCTCTGTGTATGATGTAGGTAGTGAAGGACCAAAGCCTGATGAGCAGCACCCATTACCTTCTTACCTGGAGTATAAACACAATGACTCTATACGCATCTACCAGACAAATTATTTTGCCAGTAGATGCGCTGAAAACCCTGACAGTGATTATAAAAGCTTTGACATTAAGCTTGGAGGAGAAATGGAAAACCTGGGAGGAAGGTGTGATCCAGATCAGCAAAAATTCTGCGATGGACCTCTAAAGCCTCGGACTGCTTACAGGTTAGTTTTACCTTGGTAGTTGTGGTCTCTCATATTATTAGGCGTGGTGCTGTCTGGACTCCTGATACACTTGAGCTTCTGTAGATTCATAACTGGGTTGTATGATGTTCTTTGGGTTTCACTGTGAATTTATGAAAGCTTTATCTGCATATCCATGCCCCTGTTCCATAGGTATGAATCAGTCCTTCACTAGCGTGGGAATGATATGGTTAATTATGCACAAAACTCTGTGCAGTGAATAGGTTTGTTTATTTCATTTAACTTGATGGGAAGCTCTCCTATAGCTAATAAATCTTTCTTTGGAAAGACTTAAGACCATCAGCTAAGTCAAAAGAGTACTTAACAGGAGAAGACAAGGGTGCTTAACTCAGTCTGGCACCACTACCCCACACCAGTCCTTTGGAACAAGCTAGAAAAACCTGGAGGCTCCAGAGCTAGGTCCAGGTTAGCTGTAGGGTGTAGAAAAGGGTGTCTGCCAAGATCAGGCTCAGCAGTTTCTCAGGCTGTGAGACCAAACATGATCTCCAGTGCAGCTCAATCACATCCCTCCCTCAGGCAAACACTCTCTGAAGGGACAGAAGGCATTAAGAGCTGTCTGTGGTCAGTGGAAAGGTTTTAGTTATCTCTAAGGGGCAAATAAGTTCTTACTTTTCTGCTGTTGGTTCTGGACATCTGGTGAGCTCTAACCGTAATGGTACTGTTTTTTTAGGATCAGCATACGGGCTTTTACGCAGCTCTTCAGTGAAGACCCGAAGGAACTCCCTAAACCACTCTTCTCAGACACCTTCTTCTCTTTACCAATCACTACAGAGGCAGGTTAGTTTCAGGCTTGTTTTTCAATGACTGTAGCATGTGGTTATATACTGTGCCTAAGAACACTCTGGTGTCTAGAACTATTTGCAAGGAGTGGAACAAAACCAGATTGTCGTGCATGTCCTGAAGGCTGCTCTGAAGTGAGGCTGGCGCCATGGCTTGTCAGGCCTCAGTCTGAAAATTCAGGTGAGTGCTTGATGGAGCTGCTGATAGTCGAGGAAAAGGGTGGATGCTCAGTGAAGCTATCGCTTAGAAAGCTTCAAAGTGCAAGAGAACCAAATTCCTGTATAATGGGGCTGGGCTTTCTTTTACTCTGTTGGGAATGAAAGATTTTGTGTAAAGTTTGGAAAAAAATAAGGACAGAAATCAAAGCCAGATTTTAGCTGTGTGTAAATGCCTCAGATTTCCTTATAATTAACCATTTTTTTTTAGCTGATAATAACATATCCTCTGAAAGCTCTTGATTCTTTGATTTTTCTTATCTTCTCGTCAAGATTTATAAGTATACTTTTTTGTTTCTAGAGCCTCTGTTTGGAGTAATTGAAGGTGTGAGTGCTGGCTTGTTTCTGATTGTGATGATAGTGGCTGTTACAGCTTTATTTGTCTGCAGACAAAAAGTTAGGTAAGTTGAGTCCCTTTATCAGTCTCTGTTATTGAAGTCAGGTCAAATTGCATTCATTTAAGCAATACAATATTTAAAGCACAACCATAAAAGGAGGAGTGTGCTGAACTATTCAACAGCTAAAATCTATGATGTCCTCTGTACATGAAGTATAGAACTAATGACTTACATATGAAGAGATCTGTATATTCTTGATTTAAATACCTACTGATGTTAGTCAGACTTATCTCATAGATGATCTTTGTAACTTTTAGGTTTCGGTAGGAGTCCGAATATTTCTGAAAAGCTGGTTTATCATTCAAACAATCTCTTTTGCCAAAAATGAAATGTTTCAAATTATTTCATCTCCACTGTAGATGGGAAGCTCTTGAAACTGTTCATTTAGACTTCATCATTTTGGTTCAAAAATCTTATGGAGTGGCATTACCTCAGTGTCCAAAAGATTACTTCAAACTTTACTTCTCATTTTTTGTCAATTATAGTTGTATATTTCACATTATAGATGAAGCTGAAATTGTGAATTCAAAATATGGTTTTTTATAGGTGAAATACTCTACCTCGACTTTGGAAAAGCTTTATCCACGTAAACCATTTTGCATGACTGAAAGAGAAATGACATTATTGATGTGAAATTCTTTGTGGTTTCTGAAATAAATGAAAAAATCAACATTTCTATTGCACGGGAAGCTCTGAAAATCTGAAATTCAGTTCTTTTACTGATACAAGATTAGGTCTGTTTTGATTTGAATTTGCTTTTCAGGTGCCAGAATGAAAAAAAAACTGTTTTGTGACTACTCGTGGCTTTTAGCCAGAATGGATGTACCTTGTAGTAGTGCTGTTCTTAGGCTCTGTGAACAAATTCAGTGTATTCCTCTATGTGTCATCCAAAAATAATAGGCATAAATCATTGGCAAATTAGTAAATTAAGTCTGCTTTTGCATGTATAGACTTGTGCACCATCTCAGTACACAGTGACATATAGAGCATGAGCAGACTGCGGATTGATGTGTTTTCCAGCTTGCACAGCTCATTGCACTTTTTTTAGTGTAGCTAAATTTCAGACAGAGTGTGGTTTCTTTTTGTGAGTTATATAGCCAGCAGGACTGCAAGTATACTAATATGGTTTTACCTCATCATACATAAAGTGTTCTCTAAGGGAGGTGTGTTGAAGCGGATGACAGTGAAAGAATGAAGGGCGGCACTAACAGTATGGAGTCAGTACCACTTCTGCCACTTTCCCAAACCCTTCTGTGGTGCTGCCACTTACTCCTGCTATGAACCTGGCCATCAGCTAGAGGCCTGGTCTGCGGAGTGGATGTGCTGTATACCTTCTACAGTTCTGAAAATCTATCTGTGTGTTCCTCTCTGCATGTAGACAATCAACTGATTTACGGCCTGTCTTAGCATGGGACACCCTACTTGATGATAGGCTGGGCTATGAGTGTTTCAGAGCAAGAGAAAAGGCTTATGCCTGTGCACATGCGTACATTCCGTATCACTATTACCAAAGAATACAAGAAAACTCAGTGCCACAGCTAAGAACAATATCACATGTTCAGAGCCACAAATCTAAATAAAAAGTTCCTTAAATTCCTTTTTTCCAACTTACCAACTTCTTTCCAATGTAAGTTATGTTATTGGCAGCTCTTGCCAGGATCTGAACATAACAGTAAAACAGAATACCTTCCTTTTTATTCCAGTAATGGCCATGAGAGACCTACAGCAAGGCTGAGCATTCGCAGGGACAGGCCACTGTCAGTCCATCTGAACTTGGGGCAAAAAGGGTAAAGTCAAAAGTTTTGTTTCTAACAAACAGTGGTATTTTAACATGGCATCATGGAGTCCCTTACTCACTTAAGTGTTTCTTTTTCTTTTGAAATCATTTCTAGGAACCGGAAAACTTCCAGGTAAAAAGAAAAAAAATAATACCTAAAAAAGCTTCTTGATAACCAACTGGATAAATTATGACTGTGATTCATCCTGTGATTTTCTTCCTCCTGTTGAATATTTTAGTCCGATCAAAGTCAGTCATTTTGAAGCACACTTCACCAAACTTCAAGCAGACTCCAACTACCTCCTGTCCAAGGAGTATGAGGTGGGATCCTAACCTAGGCAAAGGACTTGCTTTATGAAGGGGTGGGCTGGCTGAATCAATGGGTTAATGCATTAGAAAGGCCTGAATTTGTTTTTCTTGTTCACACAAACCCAAATAAGTTTGAGGATCTTACCTGAACTCCACTTGTCCTAGTGCAGAAATTAGCTCTTCAGGTTGGCAGCCTCTGCCTGAGGTCAGGAGCATTCGTTTGTGTGGCACATCTGTGTAATAAAGCATGAAAAGTACCTGCCAGCTATGTGTTTGCTTTAAATCAGTATGATTAGCTGTTTAATTTCAGTTTGTTCTTAAAAAAACCTACCCATTCTCTGTGCATGGCCCTTGAGAGCTGATAAGCATTGCATCCCCCTGCGTTGTAAAATCCTTTAATTACTTTTACCTCACATTTTATTCCTGCTTTTTTTTTTGCAGGACTTGAAAGATGTGGGTCGAAACCAGACATGTGACATAGCACTTCTGCCAGAGAACAGAGGGAAAAATCGATACAATAATATATTGCCCTGTGAGTTTTAGGTTTGGTTGTGTAATATTACATCACACCAGCTATTTTTCACTTTTTTCAGCAGACCTAGTGGAAAAGAGAGTGCAGCCAATCCCCTTGCTTCTTCCTGACAGAGATGAAATACCTCTGCCAGCTCAGGTTCTGGTGCTAGGAGGCAGATGATGCATGGCCCTGATTGGCTTCCCGCAGACCAGTAATTTCATTTCACACTAGAAGTGTAATGACTGTCATTCAGTCTGGAGAGAAAAAGCTCCAGCTGTTAGGGACATTAAGTCACTGCTGATAACAAGGATAGTAGAAATAACAGTAGCATTGTTTACATATGGGGTATCATCCATACAGTGCTGTTTGACAGCCTTGCCACACCTTTCTTCTTCAAAGGACACAACAAACCTACCATACAATGCAGAGCTAGAGTGGTTGTGCATGGTAATTCACACTGTGACGTTAGCCCTGTTCTCCTGAGGCAAGACCTGGCATTGAGAGTTTCCCCTTTTAATCTCCTATCTGGCAGTTTTGGAGGAAACTGCCAACTCTGCATGCTGCCCTGCTGCTGGATGTGGTATGAGCTTGGAGCACAGCCTAACATTATCTCCTGTGTTCTGCCTGCCATGCCATGCTGAAGAGCGTGCCCGCGATGTACAAGAAACAAGACCTAACTGAGATCCAACATGGCATTAGCTCATGAATCAGTGACCTGGCGGCTTAGGCACTCTAACCCTCTGCAGAAGGTCCTCTGCTGAGGGAGGATGTTTGGCCTGCTCACGCGTGTTAGCTCGGGACCTGTGTGGACCACTGCTCTTTCAAGGGCAGTGCTGGGCACGGCTCTCCAGTACAACACACTGCTGACAGAATCAAAGTATGCTGTTGTGACTTATTTGTTGCCATAACAAATCCTATGCAAATAAGCAGAGGAATTTTGGAATACTCACTACTTCCTTCTCGCCCATCCATCTCCTAGACTTTGCAAGTCTCCACAGCACTCATGGATGAAAGAGGCAGCACAAATATAAACAGTTTTCCCTCTAAATTAGCCCTCCATATAAAATCCTTATAATAATCCTGCCAGTCCTTTTGCAAATGCATTTCTGTAAATGGGAGAGGAACTGAATATCAAGACCTAGCCATAAGCCTCTTCTAATCAATTTCTTCCTAGATGATACATCAAGAGTGAAGCTTTCCAATGTGGATGATGACCCTTGCTCAGACTACATTAATGCAAGCTACATACCAGTAAGTGACGCAAGGATGGTATTTTACAGTCCTCCCTCCAGTGGTAATTTGTCCTTCATCTAAAACTGAATATAAAGCTGGATGCTTATGGCTCCCTTCCCCCTTCATTTATTCACTTGAGCTAGAAGTCTGAGAACTCATTTTGTGGGTGTGCTGAAAGACTGTGTCTGACTGCCATTAAGTTAACTGTGAGTGATGTACTGAGCACTTAAAGACACTTTCTTGGATTGCTGTAGTTGTGTAAGATAGCAGGTATAATTGGCCAAGGACACATTTTAAAGGTCACTAATTTTACAGAGTGTCCGCAACAACTGTAGCTATCACTGCAGGTGGCATCCTCATTGTGGAGCTGTAGCTCATACTGACGGTGTTGGCATCTTGCAGAGTGGTAGAACTGCTGAGATTAAAACAGTGCCATTTGCCAAAGAGTTGTGATTGATTGATAATAGCAATGGCTTTAGCAATCCAGATTTCAAGCCAGAACTCAGCTAATTCATTAAAAACAGTAAATAAAACAAAAAACCCTAGTAGTTCCAAAGTTGCATAAGACTGTGCTGAACACAATAGAACAATGAGTTTTGACTGCCACAAAAGGAGCAGTATTTAGATACACTGCTGCAGTCTCTTCCTTCTCTTTGCTCCAACCAGCTGCCTTCTTCCAGGTCCAAGGCAACAATTTAGCCCTCAAAACTAAAGGGCATTGTTGCTGCAGAGCCCCAGCTTCAAACCCATCGCATGTTCATTTTTTTAAATCTTTTTTTCTGCCTTTATGGAAACTAATGGAGTTCTTTTTACTTGCAGGGCAACAGTTTCCGCAGGGAATACATAGCAACTCAGGGCCCTTTGCCTGGCACCAAAGATGAGTTCTGGAAGATGGCATGGGAGCAAAATGTTCACAATATTGTCATGGTAACCCAGTGTGTTGAGAAGGGCCGGGTGAGCAATTACTTTTCTTTATTATCAATGACTATTTTAACACATGTTAAAAGTTTATGCTTATTATTTGCATCACATTAATGTCAAAGGCCCCAGTCAAGGAGATAGACGATAAGAGATGAGAGGTAAAAGCTAAAGATTGGGGACAGATTAAGGCTGTGAAGAGAGGGTGCAGTGGCCATCCCAAGATCATATAGCATGTCAAGGCTAGCGTTAGGAACGGACCTCAGTGCTTCTGGTCTCCAATTCAGGACTTTGCACACTACGACTAATAAAAACCATGCAGAATGGCAACCACGAGCAAAAAAACCCAACCTGTTTATTACATCAACTACTACTTTAAATATGATCTGTAGAGAGCAAATGTTGATCCTTAAATAGATGGAATTGTCTCTGATATGTAAGACCTGTTGTAGTAAGCAAAGAGACCACTCACATACTTAGCAGTCTTACTGAGTGCTGGTGTAGGTAGGTTATTTAGCTGTCTCAGCCATCCACCTCCCCAGGTATGGCAACATCCTGCACACTGCGTAAGACAGGGACTAGATCTGTAAAAAGATTAAACAAACTTGAAGTAGTGATCATTGGTGGCACATATGGGGACACTTCCTTTCAGTTTACCATTTTATCTTGAGGAGATGGTGAAAGCAGATGCAGGACAGACAGCCACGTGTCTCCTTCCACACCTCTGTCTTTGAGTGGGATTTTACTGTCATGTTTTAGCAAGCAGTGGGGAAGCGAGCACTGGAGGCCTAGCTGTCATCCAAGCAGAGCTTTGAGAAGAGTTGGTGCAGAAAATGCGGCATCCAGAACAGGGTATCAGTGAAGTACTTCCCATCACAAACATCTGTGATGAAAACTTCCACTTCCTAGTCCCATCATAGCCCTTGCCCATCCCAGACCCTGTTTGTTGAGCTGACATGGCAGGGCACAGCATTTGTCTCTGAATTCAGCCAGTGCCTTTCTTCCTTCATCCTCAGGCATAGGAAGTCTGGAGTCTGCTTCTGCCAGTGTTGGATGGAGGCAGTGTTTGCAGTTGTTACTGACACTAAATTTGTCTTGGTCTGTGTCCCTGCAGGTGAAGTGTGACCACTACTGGCCCCTTGACCAGGATTCCTTGTACTATGGAGACCTGATCGTTGAGATGCTGTCTGAATCGGTGCTCCCAGAATGGACAATACGAGAGTTTAAAATCTGCAGTGTAAGTTTGCATTCTTGGGGGTTTTTTTTCAATTAATTGGCTTAAAAGTACCTGCAAGCTAAATCAGGAAGGTTTCTTCTGCTGTAGCACAATTGCATCATGCCCAGCATATCTCTGGTGGCAGCTGTAGCATTTGCTCTGAAGATGCATGTTGCGTGTGCCTCCTCCTCCTCTCTATTCTGATGACCCACACTTTTGTATCCCAACAGGAAGAGCAGCTTGACTCAACAAGGCTCATTCGTCACTTCCACTACACTGTCTGGCCAGACCATGGTGTGCCGGAGACCACCCAGTCCCTGATCCAGTTTGTTAGAACTGTGAGGGATTACATTAACAGGACCCCAGACACAGGACCAACTATTGTGCACTGCAGGTATGTACAGCACCAAAAGGTCGGCAGCACAGATCCATTGTGTGTACCCTTGGGAAGATCCCAAATGTTCACCCCTGTTAGGCCATGGGCAGCCACAGAACCTGAGAGAGAGCTGATGAGCTTAAGTCTCCAGATACATCAGAGCAGCATTCCCAAGGCACGTATACTTGCTCACAACCTCACCCTGGAGATGTCCCCAAAACATTTCTCAGGAACCAGTGTGTCTCTGTGGTTCCTTTACTGTGGTTCTGAGAGCACTAAAGGTGTCAGCAGCTGCTACTGCTCATAAGCTTTTACTCTCTTAAATTGTGTGCTGCTCTTGCAGCCCAACATCTGACTCACAAAGGGGTGTTCTGAAGAAGTAAGATATACCTGAGGTGAATCTGACTATATACGGATGTTGACACTAGCTGGCAGATCCATCCTTTCCCCCATTCTGACTGAGACTCCCTCTCCTTACTGTCTTCTCTTGCCTTTTCTGGCAGCCATAGGGCTGCATTTTTTCCTCTGCTCTGTGATCTGTCCCTACACACATACACAAAAAAGGCAAAACTGTACTGCCTGATGCATGATCCACTGGCCAGCTGCAGCAGAATATAGGGTTACAGAGTGAGAGAGAGCAGTGTGGTGTTGTGTGTATCATCTGGTAAAGCCATATGCTCGCTGGTACTAGCTGAATGTAGTATCTGAACCCATTATATGGGCTGAGGCATGTCTCTTACATGACCCCACGTTTGTCTGGCTGTACATCATGTGCTGCAACATGTCAGATGTCTACTGTATACTGTCTTTTATATAACTTTCCTTTTCCTGGCCTCCTGTCTCCAAAACCCACCTCCCAGCAATTCAGCTACTGGGGACTCTGGGATACTTCACCTTACCTCCAGAAGGCACAAGCCAGCTGATCTTTTAGAATCAAGCATACTGGTTCATCCCTCGAGACAAGGGGTTTAAAAGTTACAGGCAAGTGTAGTCTCTTGGTGTATCCTGATGACTGAGTTAATACAAAGCAGAAAACAGTATGGGCAGCAGCAGAGATACCTCTAGCATTACTATCCTTTTCTTCTTCCTAAACAAATTCCACTATTAAGTGTTTGAAGTCCCAGAGATGCCATTTGAACAATGAGCTTCTCACCCTGAAGATCTGAACTTTACAGAAGTATCACTTGAGTCATAGAATGAGAGAATCATAGTATACCAGGTTGGAAGGGAACACAAGGATCATCTGGTTCAACCTTTTTTGGCAAAAGCAGAGTCCTGACAAGATGGCCCAGCACCCTGTCCAAGTGAATCTTGAAATTATCCAGCACTGGGGAATTCATCGCTTCCCTGAGGAGACTGTTCTCACTGAAAAAAATCTTTTCTTTCGTCTAACTAGAATCTCCCAAGGAATAACTCGTGCCCACTACCCCTCTTCTTTTCCATGTGACTCCTTGTAAAAAGGGAGTCTCCATCTTCTTTGTAGCCACCCTTTAAATACTGGAACATGGTGATAAGGTCTCCCCTGAGCCTTCTCTTCTCAAGGCTGAACAAACCCAGCTCTCTCAGCCTTTCCTTGCATGGCAGGCTTCCTAGTCCTTTGATCATCTTTGTGGCCCTTCTCTGGACCCTCTCTAGCCTGTGCACATCTTTTTTGTATAGCAGGGACCACAACTGACCACAGTATTCCAGGTGTGGTCTGACAAGCACTGAGTGGGATAGTGCTGGTCATGCTGTTGATGTAACCCAGCATCCTGCTGGCTTTCTTTGCCGCAGCAGCACACTGTTCACTCATATTGAGCTTGCTGTCCATCAGGATCCCCCAGGTCCCTTTCCATAGAGCTGCTCCCCAGCTGGGTAGATCCCAGCCTGTGCTGCACTCTTGGATTGTGTTTTACCATGTGCTAAGACCTTATACCTGTCCTTGCTGAACTCATAAGGCTCTTGTTTGATCACTCTTCCAGCCTATCCAGGTCTTCCTGCAGAGTGGCTCTCCCTTCCAAACTGGACACTTTTGGTATTCTCAGCAAACTTGGTCAGGGTACAGTTTATCCCATCTTCCAAATCATTTATGAAGATATTAAACAGTTTTGGGCCCAGTATTGATCCCTAGAGGACCCCACTTGTGACAGATCACCAGTTGAAGGAGTAGCTATTTACCACCCACCTCTAGGTGTTATATCTTTTGGGTTGTTCTCTTTTCCAGCGCTGGTGTTGGCAGGACTGGCACATTCATTGCACTTGACCGAATTCTGCAGCAACTGGATTCAAAGGACACTGTCGACATTTATGCAGCAGTACATGATCTAAGGCTCCATCGGGTTCACATGGTTCAGACAGAGGTAAGTTTTGGATAGCCTGCAATACAGCAACACCTGCTGCAGTACATAATAATCACTCTCGTCTTAAAGTCTCTCAAAGCACTTCACAGTTACTCCACTGTGAAATACTAGTTGGATGTGGTTTTGCTCTGAGAGAATTTGTAGTATAAGATTGTTTCAATTGGCTCCAATACAGCATCTGTGTACAGCAGGTCCAAACCATAACAAGTGGTAGCTGCGCTTCCTATAGATTTCTCCTGTTGGCACTGGCCCACATCGCCCCAGCAGTGCTATGCAGCAGGCACTCAGCAGCACACTGTTGTGTTAGTGCAGTGTCCAGTAAATGGGCTTTGAGCAGCCACAGGTCCTTCAGGAATGGGTTTGAAAGACAAGCCTAAATGAGACAGATAGATAGTTCAACAGAATAAAGAAAAGGAATAGAGGGCAGAGAAAATTAGATGTACATAATTTTAAAACTCTTAAGCACTGTGACCTTGTGGCTTTGCAGTTAATTTTTTATTGAGCTGCTCTCTCATTTTCATTAATGGTATTGGAAAGTTGATTAGAATTCTCCTAGTGTACTATGTAAAAGCAAGTACATTTATTCTCAAAGTGTAGAAAAAGTACAAGTTTGGGATTTCTGTCTGTGCTTTTAAAACTGCAAGAAAATCACATTATACTAATAGCAGCCAAACACTTAAGAGCTGATTTAATAAAGGCAAGTTGTGGAAGCAGTCTTTACATTTTCCCTGTGAACTGTTAATAGAGGAATCAGAACAGGTTTGATGAGTCTGCCTGTAGCTTGATACTAATGGAGCTTTCTGTTGTAATTTGGAAATGAAATTATCAGTGACAGCACTTCCTGATAGATGTACAAGTCACACATGGGTATAAAGAGAGCCTCAGCTGGGAATGCAGAGAGATTTCCTGGAACTATCTTAATCACAGAAGACTTTTGCTGGAGGGGAGACAGATTCTCAGGCTGGTCTGGGCATGCTCAGAGACAGATCCATCTCACCTGTTTTCCGATTAGCAGTAGTTAGCAAAGGCAGACAGGCATCTCAGGGGGTTGACTATTTTTCCTGAGCTGAAGAGGCAAGTACCTCAAAATACCCTACCAGGCTTATACACAACTAAAGTTCTGTGATACAAATCCCACCTTTGGCATGAGCTTGACACAACATCTAAGTCAAATGGTAGCCAGACCCAAACAAAATATCTCAGCAATAGTGAGGAACACCCCACCTTCCCACCACATGCACTTCTGCCCCAGACTGCAGTGGCTCAAGTCTTACCCAGATCCCTGTTGTAAACAGTCCTTCCCCTGGAAGAACTCACAATCGACATCCCAGAGACAAGCTGACAGCTCTTGCAGTCACACTTACTCACCCTACTTGAGCTATAACATGCTTGTACGCTGACCATGTAGCTGTGTCAGTGCACAGCCACTGAGCTGCTGTGTTCTCAGCAAGTCATAGTCTGAACTGCCAGTTGCATCTGTATATGGTTTCTGATTTGGAACTGACTTTCATCGAGGTAGTTTAGAGCACAAGCAATACAATCTCTCATCCTCCTGCAAGAAAATGAATTTATCCTGGAGCTTTATTCAGAGTTTGCAATGAGCAGTGAATTATGAAGTAATTCTTAAACATCTTTTAAGGAAAAGTAAAGGAGGTGGGGAGAGGAGGAAGAAAAGATCTGCTTCACAAATTGCATCTGATGTGTGAGAAGACCCTAGTTCCTGTTATCGTTCATGTCTTGGCTTCCACAGTCTGGGGGTTGAGATAAAAGCTAGGTCCCCATCTGTTGATGTGGTGGAAGCCAAATACCAATGGGGAGCATAGGCCAGCAGATAGGGCTGTTTGCAATGAGATTGCTCCAGCCAAAAATCACAGCACCATCCTGCTTGACATTATGCAGTCACAGTAAAAGAGCAGCAACAAAACACTGCCTTTGCTTCAGACTTGGCTGAAAGCTGATTAAGAGAAGAGATGGCAGCTGGAAACATGCAGGAGACTAACAGAAAACTGTGTCCATTAGCTTAGAAGGCAGTGGGCCCAGCTGTAGCATAAGTAGAAAAGCTATGCACCATTTCAGTCCCAAATGGTCTCTGCCAAAGGGAGTCTCCATGCCTTGGCCAACTTCCCAATAATTGGCAGGTGGGGTATAGGATTCTGCTCCACAGAGACAGCAGCTGTATGTGCATAACAGCAGGTATCCTCACTGTCCTAGAGCCAAAGCACTGAGAAAAATGCACAGAGCAATAGCTGAAATGCTTGTGAAAAATAAGAGAAGAAGATACGAGGGGAGAAAAAAGCATATGTTTATTGAAGAAATTATGTCTTTAAGATAAAGTAATGCTAAAAAGGTACACCTGGATATATAAAGATGCTTGGCCTAATTTTGGGGTACCATGCTGCACTATTCTGCCAAGGCAGTTTGGTAAATAGCCAGTTTATGACCCCTCCTACTTTGGTTGTCAATGTTATCTTAGCTTCCTTCTGTGAAAGGCAGTCTTCAGAAAAGACAGTCTGTCATTTACTGCATAGGCAGAAGCAATCTCATACTGGATCAAAAAAAAGCTGCTCTTGCTAGAAAATTTGGGTTCTACAAAATATTTATATATTATGATAAAATTCTGTGAAAATAGTTCCTTTCAGAAACAAAAATCAGGAAATTCTCTCTTCTGCATGCTACCCTGTACATATTAATTCTGTCACATGTACTTTATATGAAATCATTCAGAAATAGTAGCTATCCAACACAGCATCAGGTCAAATTGTGCCTTATAGTTGATAGAGTTTTCACTCATGACATGATCCATCAAAACATGTTATGTTCACTTATGTTTTACTGGTAGCATTTCTAAAAACAGGTCATCCAAAAAAATTTACTGTATTCCTAGCGTGAAAAGCAGATTAATTCTAGAAGTGTATTTCATTTTTAACACCACCCTTGATTTTGTGTGAGGGAATCATAGAACAGTTTGGGTTGGAAGGGACCTTCAAAGGTCATCTAGTCCAACCCCCCTGCAATGAGCAGGGACATGTTCAACTAGATCAGGTTGCTCAGAACCACATCCAGCCTGGCCTTGAGTGTCTCCAGGGATTGTGTGTCCACCACGTCTCTGGGCAACCTGTGCCAGTGTTTTTCCACCCTCATTGTAAAAAATTTCTTCTTCACCTGCAGCCTGTATCTCCCCTCTTTTAGTTTAAAACCGTCACGGCTCATCCTATCATAACATGACCTGCTAAGAAGTCTCTCCCCATCTTCCTTATAAGTGCCTTTTAAGAACTGAAGGGCAGCAATAAGGTCTCCTGAGAGTCTTCTCCTCTTCAGGCTGAACAACCGCAACTCTCTCAGCCTTAGGCCTGAGGCTGTTTCTCAGAGAGTTAGCCTGTAATGATTTTTCACAATATAGAAAATTAAATTACAAAACTTTCCAGAGTGACTTAAAAAAAAATTCTTTTGCAGTGTCAATATGTGTATCTACATCAGTGTGTGAGAGATGTGTTAAGAGCCAGAAAGCTTCGCAGCGAACAGGAAAACCCCTTGTTTCCAATATATGAAAATGTGAATCCAGAATATCACAGAGGTAAGTGCTAGTTCATCAAACTGTAAAACATTTTGAATGTAGTAGTTCATTGACAATATAATTGAGGGGGAAAATTGTGCTGTCAGTTGCCATCGATATTTGTTCTCTTCCTGGGCCTTCATTTCTTCACTCCTCTGCTCTAGGCACTCTTGCAATTGCATCTTTATTTCCTCCATTAGTAGTCATTATAACATCTCTTCCTGCTCCTTCCTTCATGCATTCCCTGTCTCATCATTCTTATGCTTTTGAAGGGAACTGAACCCATTCCCTATCATGATACTGGCGTCCTCCTTTACCTCCCAAGTGTTTACACCGTCCACTTTTAAGCACTCTGAGGCCAGTGGCTGGGCTCTCTGGGCCCTTCTGTCATTCATGGAGTTTTATTTCTGTCCTGCATCACCCTCATTTGCTGTTGACTATATAGGCAGTCGTCTGCCTTGAGTGGATAATGTAGGTGTCCAAGGCTGTGCTCTTTGTTTCTTCCCCAACTTGCCATCCATATAGGCTCTTTTTCCTTGCCTTTGTCCAGTCCCTTGGCGATAAGAATTGCAGCAGTAGCTAACCTGGCACTAGCACTGCCCTTCACCTCCTGTTCTCATGGGCAGAGGACCAGTCTGGAGAAGTTGTAAGGAGAGGTGGCTTGTGTGTCTTGGTAGAGCCAATTCCTAAAGGCTGTAGAATTTTTCAGTCAGAGAGCAGGATCTCGGTAGCGTCTCAAATTTTGAGATTAGGAGTTGAGATTGAATGATGAGAGACCAAAATAATTTTCTTGATTTAGCCTGTAGAAATCAGTTGTCATCAGCAGGTAGAGCAGGCTTGGAGGAGGCCAACAACTGAAATAACCAGGGTTCCACAAGTCGGGAGTGCTAGCAGAAGCAGAGGTGGGATCTGCTCTTGAGCTGTCACGTCAGTCACGAGCCAGTGTTGTAATGAGCTGGCAGAGTTGAATGTGAAGCCACCTGGGTTGTTTTATTTTTCCTAATCTCAGTTTTCCTTGCTTTCAGATGCTGTTTATTCAAGGCACTAAGAATGTTACAGACATCTGCTTTTGTGACCACATTTATTAACTAGAGGTTTTGTTTGGGTTTTTTAATGTATGTATTTCATGCACCAGAAAGGTGCCAGGACCTTTCTGTTGAGACTGTGTATAATTTATTGGTCTGGTGATTTTTTAAAAGATATATAATTTAAGTGTAATAGATATTAATGTATATAATTGTATTTTGGCATTATGTAAATATGTATTTTTTCTATATTGTTAATATTAAGCTTCAAATAATACTATTTTTTTCTTATCACAGTTTTTATGAACTGTTCTACAGAAACTATTTTAAATTGTATGGCTAACAGGACTGCTGTATTTAGGGCAGTATTAGCATGAAACACACACAGGAAAAATCCTATAAGGAGAACCTCATTTTTTTTTATCTAGTTTAGTGTTTGTGAGATGAAATAAGCTACTATTACAAAGGGAACAGTAGTCCTATATAGGAATTCCAATGCTACTCTAAACTTACTGCTTTTGATCTGACAAAAATGGGTATAACCCATAACACAATGGCATACTTTTAACAGAACTCTTCAACAGCTGAGCAAAACAGGGTCCACCTCACTAGAAGCAACTGTTTCAGTCTAATGTGACATAGTAGAAAAATATCAAACAACAAGATGCACTGCCGTGAAGTCTAGCAGACCTTTCCCCCCACTGATGCTCTGAGGGGAGACAGGTCACATTCTGATTTCTTTACACTGGTTTAAGAGAGCAGAATCAGAGCACAGCCTGTGTCTGTGTATAAAAAAGATCACACCTCAAGGAAACACCTCAAACATTCATGTTAATGGACCTGTAAGGATGTGAAGTCTAGCAACTTCCATAGCTCATTGAAAGCAGTGCTGTACCATGACAGCTAAAGAAGTGGAGAGATTATAAACATAATGAGGACACATAAAGGTAGATATCCCACAGGTTACACACCTAGCTTTGGCCTTAAGCTGCTTGCAGCATAGCTGCCTTGGCCCGAGTGTTGGTCTCCTTCAAATGCTACTTGCTTTCACAAAGGGAAAGCATGGCCCCAGCATGTCCTCATAGAAAGATTCCTCCACTTAGATGTTGCCTGATGTCACTGCCACAAGGGCAACTGGAATAGAAAAAGATTAGTCAGTAAACAAGGGGGTCGAGACTGGCAGGGCTGTGCTAGTCATGGGATGACTCAAAGCGTTTGGTAATTAGCAAGAAGCACAAAGACCACTCACCAGATATCCTGCCCAGCCAAGTGGGTTAGGCACATCCACTCTCCTCTGCAAAGAGGCTTCTAATTCAAGGGACTTAGTACTCTGTTCAGCTATTCTTTGTCTTTATAAAATGCTCTTAAACAAATAGAGAAGAGGCAGTACACAGTTCTTCTCCATCACAAAAAGAAGGAAGGGCGTGATAGTTCTCCATCACAAAAAGAAGGAAGGGCTTGATAGTTCTCCTTTCACATATCTGCCCATACTTCACCTGGAGAAATCTTAGCCTGCTGCTGAAGACAAGTGCCTAAATTCAACTTTTATTTTGGAGAGAAATAAATATTTCTAAAGGCCTCCAGAGAACCAGCCAATACACCTAAGTGCCTAACTGAGGAACTGCTATGGCCATGGTCCAAAACTACTGTGATTTCACCATGATGTGTGCTCTCCTTGCAGTAGGAACAGCTGCCTTGCAATGCTGAAGACATCTGCTAGGCAGCTCTGACACAGTTTTCCTAAATTGTTCCAAAGCAGAACCAGCAGGACTGTGCAGTCACGTCACTCTGGTTTTCCTAGAGAGAAGGAACCAACCTGATAGTCATTTGTCCTTTCTACTCCATCTGGAGTCTTGTCCTTTCTTGACCAAACACCCCCACGTGCCTCAGTAGCTACCCTTCGTATCAGCTTTTACAGCTGCTCAAAACATGTAAGCTTGGTTAACCTTTTAGGTGTCACTGTATGAAAATACTGCTTATTCCTCTCATACATCCTCTGTGCCCTGACACAAACCTCAATATTTGCCACTCTTAGTTAGAACTAAAGAAGAAGGAAACTAGTGTTATACTGGAAGCCATTTGCACAGAGGGAAATGTAAGCAAAACCACAAAGCAGTGTGCTTATTTTCTGCAGGCCCCTTTTTTATTCTGTTTCCTATGCTAGGTTGACTCTAGGTTAGCAAGCAAGGACAGTCATGGCAGCTTTAGATCAATCATTGACTCTGCTAATAACGGCTAAACTTAGGGCATCATGAAAATTGCCATTGTTACATGCGCTGCATTTAGTCCTTCTTGCAGTGGTAGCTGAGGAGCAAAGATGACCGTGTTAGTTATCAGCAATGCAATTACACTGTGAAGACATACCAAATGTACCCTATAAATTATCTCACACTGTATATCACTGTGTCATACTTTATGCTGAGAGGAATGGAACTCACTCAATAATATATGATCTGAGGGCAGAAGTCTGATCCTATATACTGTGCATGCATGCTGTTCATCACTTTCAGGAAGACATACGTCGTTCTGCTCTTTATTTCAACATTTTTTCTCAGCTCCCTCCTCTGCACCTACAGAGTTCACAAATGTGCACCCAAAAGGATGATGTAGTAGCACACAGATATTTTATTCTTTTCTCTCAGCTAATAATGGACACAGTTCATAAGCTTTTTCCTCCTCATCACGTAGTAACATGACAGATGACCTTAAACACCCTGGCACAGTGCTCTTGAGCAGCTTTACATTGCTGCCTAACTAGGTCACGTGTGAGACTCTACACACACATTATTGCCCTGGTTCTGCTTTCCACTCAATTCTGCTCATATGAAACCAGTGTGAATCCGCTGAGAATAAGTAAAAAGTATCTATGTAGCATTTTGTTAATATGACACCTACTTACGAGTATAATTAATTATATTTACTGTGCCTCTAAGCTGAATAACAGGACTGATGGGAAATTGTTAATGTAACAAGAATGGACTTGAAGGAGCCTGTGCACTGAACAAAGACTGCGCTTAAGGAAAAAGACATCCTCTTCTGAAAAGGGTGTTTCTCTTTTGAATGTCCATGACTGATGTTCAGAATTCCTTTCTTGGTGTTTCCCAATAATACTGTTATAAAGCAAGGCTGGTGTTGTTACTGATCCATAAGCTAAGATTTGCACACTTGAAGCCCAGTCCAGTGAATCTCTGCATTGCCCACAAAGCTACCTGAGTACTTTGGTGAAAATCAACTGGAATGCTTGCCTGAAGAATACCACTCCACTTCTGAAGCACTTGCAGGGTTGGGCTTTTAGGTTAATTCAAATTTTTGTATTGAAAATTATTTAATAATGAAAAATTTTTAGTAAATGTTTGGTTTTTTTTTAATCTGTGCAATACAAGATCCACTACTAAAAAAAAGGAAAAAAAAAAGATTTTGCATAGTTGGAGTTGATAAATGATATTTTTTTTTACTAATGGAACAATGGAACACAAAAGTGGGTGAGAGAAATAGGCATACTGTGAAGATGTCATAAAAGTGCAACTTTATACGTTTTTCTCTGCTGCTATAGTTATTTATACAGCTTATATACATGCCTAAAATTGCCAGAAATATTATTTTATGCCATAATATACTATGAATTTCCTTTCAGTTGTAGAACAGAGAAAAGAAAATGTGTGAGCTCTAAGTTTGTATTATGTATTGCATAGGGTTATTTACGCTTTGACTTTGAAAGCAAAAAGTTAGTTAAAATACTAGACAGACAGGAGTACATGAGCACTTAGCTGTGCTCCTCAGCCTGGGAGTTTATGTATGTGCTAGAGAGATGAAAACAGTAACCATCTGATCACTATATTAGCATCTCCTCCAGGGCCACAGAGTGGAGAAACACGTCTGACATTCAGAGATACAGCCACAGCTTCGCTACCAAGGAGAGGCGTGGCAGGTGCTCACATCTATTCAGATGTCTTTCAGCACTTCAGACATGCAGTTTGGGTGAATAAAATGCAATATAGAATGACCTCCACTTCCTGATGGCTCTGTCGCTAGTGTTTGGGCTCTGGAGCTGTGAGCTCTGGACCTGTAGTCCCAGGAGGCAGCAACTTTGAATAGAAGATGAGTGTGCACCCCAGTACTTGGGCAGCTCTCTGAGGACCCGAAGCCCTCAGCTGTCCCTCTCAGGCTGACAGAGTCAAACTCCTGCCCTGTTAGCACCACTATGGCCAAAGCAAACTGATCTGTTATTGGTGACCTCACTGATAAACAGCTAGTTCAGGCTGAGATTTGTTTTTTAAGACTGACAGGAAATACTGGAGACTAGGGACTAACTAAATTTAGCAAATACTGTGGAATTTGGGCACATACAGTCTCGATGCTGGTGGATTGATATGCATGATTATTTGATTGTTTCTTGGTTTATTTGAAAACTAAAATACTGTAAGTAAGTCAAGTAACTAAATATATATTGCTCTGCAGCTGGGCAGTGTGATATAGTGGAAAACCCCACAATTTTGAAATGTGGCTAACCATAAGTTCTTTGCCAGTGCCTGGAGTAAAGTGTCTGAAAAACATCTTGAGCACATATTCCATTCTCATATGCTATATAATTACTTATATTTGTGTTCCTAACAAACACTGGGTGAACACAGAATTGTGCTACTATTGTCAATTTAATTTATGCATTTGTTAAGTATATTTTTGTATTTTTAGCTACAGTCAACAAATCAAATATATTTGAGTGTATTTTACACATTTTTATAAATAGTTCATGAATAAAACATTCATTTAAAAATAAATCACGTCCTCATCTTCTGTTTGACTGCTTTTGCATTATGGATTTCGTTGTCCTGCTGCTCAGAGAAAAGGTCATAAATGAGTTTGATTCTGATTAAATTCATCAGGAGCCTCAGCCTGTTGGGGGAAAGGCTGTTGCCTGCTGGCCAGAGTAGTGCCCATGTAGAAAGATACCATTGTTCTGTTTGCCTCCCCGGTTGTCTGCTCTCCTGCTTTAATAAACCTTGAATTGCTCAAGGAGCGGCGCTTTTCTGTCTAAAAGTTGGGACACACACATAAAGGGGTGAGCTGAGTG